CGAGATTATATACTCCATTACCCAGGTTCAAATCCCTCCGTGGTGCTGATCAGATTTAGGCAAAGTTGAAACTGCAACCCACCCTGAATAAGAATACCTTTTGAGAGGCAGGTAGAATTCAGTGAAAACCTAAGGCCTACTCATATCATTGTGGGAAAATTAAACTATAAGTATATAATGATCTTATATGACGCAGGGTAATTAGAACTCATATCCAAGCTTCTCCGATAATCTCGAAAACCAAATTACAATAACGAAAAAAGCGGGAAACTTTCCTTTTGAATGAACGTGTATGATGAGAAGATTTGTAGGTCGAACTCACCAGAAGACGACAGCTCATTCCAGTTTTGATGCAGGTTGACATAGTATTGACTTAAGACTTTTGCAAGAACGAGTCTCAGATCTGATGCTGTTCATCATATGACCAACTAAAGTCCAGCCTGTTCTCACCTGAAACGAGGGAGGATGTCTCGTGGACTGGTTTAACCTGAACGTCGTATTAAAGCCAAAAGGCTAAGGTACAACGGAAATCAGCCGTAGTCTTGTGATGAGATACACCTACGAATCTCTTCATCAAGCACTTTCATACAAAATGAAAGTCTCCACACTAATTTATATGAATATAGTCGAATAAAGGCGTTGTGGATGAAAAAAGCAAGGCATCAAATAAGTACTTTAATGCGGAGATTGGGAGGCTTATCATTCAGTTAAATTGGTGCTAAGGAATGGAGTAAGAAAACCCAACTTTCAAACGCAAAATAGATACAAATAATTGAAAAAATGTTTAACGCTCAATAAAACAGAAGATTTGGGTACAAAGCAAGATGGGACATAAGTGTGTAATGATCCATAACCCCGAATAAATCAAGCTCTATTTACAAGCAGAAATTAGTCGCATAAGGAATATAACCAATTAGTTAATAAGTTCACTTAAGAAAGAATTCATAATTAGTCTTATGGCTACCGAGTTTCGGCAGCAAATGATTAATCTACGCCACAGGCAGAGGATTATACAGTAGTCAGAGCACAATAAATAAGAGCCATTACACAAAAGAAACATACATTTAAGCATAAATCTAAATATGCTAATTCATGCTCTTCAGATAGCTAATAAGATTAAAATGGAAAGGAGTGAAAATCCTAAGCAAATTCCCAGCTCAAATATTGGATGATCTAGGTGGTGAAGAAGAAGGCCAAGCCCTACTTTTAAGTACACTTAGCCTCCGTCTTAAGAAGCACTCTCGATGTGGCTCGAATTCGTCTGCATAAACTTCAATACCAATTTCCACCCAGTCATATCGCAAGAGCGTGGGTAACCTCTACTTAAGCACTAATAAGATCTAGATGAGGTAATAACTAAAATCTCCTCCAAGAGTCTTCTGAGACGCACAGTAGGGCACTATGGACCAACTGCCAGGATTTCTGTCACCAAATCGGCCATCCGTCTCCAATAGGGAATAAGTCCTTCCATCATACTGAATTTCCGACTTAATTTGGAATTATATAATACAACGGTATTTATATATTGGGGCTTAATAGCTCAAACAAGTACCAGATTCAAAGAGGTAAAGCTGGAAAATCGCCTACTTAAGGCTATTTTCAGTCAAAGATAATGATTGCAACATAAAGGATGTGTTGGATCTCTGTCAGGGCCATTTGCACACCGAATATTCAAAATAAAGCAAAAAAGTACTGGAGCAAACAATATACAATATTAGGGCTCGAATATGAAAATTGAAAACTTGGTAAGCTCACCTCCTTTTGCCGTTCTTCGTTGGAGAACATGTTCAACTCGTCGCAGAATATCTCTTGCTGATTAAGCACGTCCTGATAATCCATCCGATGAAGGTCAGCTGGATCCTCGATCCCGTTGGCGCGCAGAAACTGTAGATAAGCCATTTGAAAGGCATTTCCTATCGAATGAGCAATAAGTTGTGCCTTGATACCGGATGGGGTCAAACAAGGTTGTAACCGCATAGAACACAGGCAAGGATAGATACGGAAAAGATCGAGTACATTAAATAAATGGGAATTTTGAAAGATTTTAATGAATACTGATGGCAATTATGAAAACAAGGCATAGTAGGGAGAAGCGATCAAGTATGATTAAATTACAAATGCAGCTCTCAGAAGCGTCTTTACTACATGATTCATGTAATAGTCGGCAAACCTTAAGGGATTTGTCATCAGAAATAAAAAAGCCCCAGAAAGTGCTTAGGGCAGAGTTCTATCATTTTTAGTCCTGTCTTTTGGGCTAAAGAATTTTGTTTTTTGACCTTGGTCTCGCAAATTAGTCATATTAGCAGGAAGACCTAGAGTAACGCAGCTTGTCCGGAGTCCATAATATGCATGATAATTTCCAGCGTCGAACCGTGGACTTAATACATTCCTAGACGTTTAGCCGGTATCGTAGTCGGCATCATGAGTGGGTCTTGCCAGTCTCAGCAACCAAACTACAACTCGTCAAAGAGACAAGTGAAGTCAATCCTTTGACCAACTTTCTGTCGAGACGGCTATGCTAGCACTCCTAGTTTTTTCCTCGTCCCTCTATCCTTTTCATACCCTCTAGTCTCACCCTCGTCCTAGCATAACTTCTGACATGGCATAACCGTCTTGACATCTTTGATGGGTATGTTTATTTACGCTCAGTCAGAAAACAGTAAGCTCGAATTTAATTCTGGACACATTGTGTAGCCTCGCTGAAGATGTCATCCGGCTCAAAAGGCATTGATCATTTAATGAATGATAAGTCAATTCAGCCTAACAAAGATTAATTTCTGTTATCTCGAAGATAGTTAGGCTTCAGAAGACGCAGCCTATGCACAACTTCTATACATACGGAGGTACGAGCCCTTAGTATTTTCTGGTAAGGAAAGCAAAAACAACCTTTTGTTTAAATCGCCATATAGTATTGGAATGGAAACCTTTAAATCATCGTAGAATATACCCTAAAGTCAGACTCAGACATCATGACACCAAGAGCCCCAGCTGAAACCTCAACGTACATATATACACAAATTCAGTCAGAAAAGCAAGTATAATTACACTTACTGGCGTAACTTTGATTTCGTTTCAGAAGGTGGGTCGAAGGGACAGAAAGTCGTTATATGAGCTCATATTGAGGAACAACTGATAGTTTTTGAACCTACTCAATGGGCAATAAAAAATTACTTAGCAAGACGACGAATACGCTTGTAATTGAGTAAACTATAACAAAAAACAATGATATAAGCCAAATGAGAGATAGGGAAAAAAAAGACTAAAATGAAAGACTAAAAAGGTGAGCCTAGAAGTCGAGGGAAGGAACAAACACACTGGCCATGAAGATTTGGAAGAAAACATCATCAAAAAGCAGAAAGGTAGACCCAGGTACGAGCTACAAAGTAGTAAGCGCCAAAATATTTGCAAAAATAAATATGTGATATTCGGAAATCGCAAAGGCGTGCATAAAAGATGTTGACAGATTACTCACAAGCTGAGCATAAACATTGACTAAAAAATTATCACCAAGAATCACTCTTAAAAAGATAAAACAGACAGTACATACAGTATATCCGCTCAAGGGCTCTTTAAATGATGATCTATACTTAAGCATAGGTCCAATGAAAATGCCGATCCCCTTTGCTGGATTTTAGTTCAAGACCTCTGTAAATGTGGGTTAAATTCACCTGTTTAGCTTACTTCCATTTTACGTGAAAATGTTAGGTGAAGAGATTCGTGGGTTAATCTCACCGGAAAACGACGGCGGATTCCTCATGACTAGTTGTCGACTGGCTTAACTGGAACATTCTTGTTGACGTTGTTTTTCTTTCGATTCCGGTGAAAACGTGCTAAGCTTTCGTTCGTCACATGACGGACACTGTCAGGGAATGATATTATCCTTACAACAATATCCAAGCTAACGAGTCAAGATAATGTTACGAGAGTGTTCCAGTGAAGCCAATCACAGCTGGTCACGAGGAATCCGCCGCCGTCTTCTGGTTGGATAAACTTTCGGATCTCTTTAAGCATTTTCACTCGAAATTGAAGTAGGCTAAACGATTATAAAACAGGAGATTCCTCAAAATCCAACTTTTATTCGATTAAACTTGCCTCTTTTATGGCTTCTTTGATCATCAAATGCTCATGGATGGGATAGGCAAGATGGTAAGTCGACAGAATAGTATAGGGCAAGGAAAGTCGAGCTTGCCGTTTTGAATGCCGGAGACTCATGGTTTACGATGAAATAGTATCCAAGAGCACAGAAAGGTTTGCTAAAGCAAATAAATTAGCGCAGCACCGAGTTTATTAATATATCCTGTATTAAAGTATCTCCATACTGGAGGAATTTGAAATCGAAGACTCGGTCTTGAGTGCCAATTAGCGTAACCCAATGAACATAAGGTTACGGACACACTACCACTACTCAGGCTGAGTAAAGTGAGCATAGTGAATACCATAAATCTGTAACGGCACAAGGATTTACTGAAAAAGAAAGTTAATTCGAGATCTCAAGCCTACCATTACGAAAGTTCAGTAGCAGGTTAGTATCCTCTGGTTCAAGTTAAGTGAGTCTCCTCAGATGATATAGTTTGTTGTTGTAGCCCCCTATATGAAAAGGAGCCAGAATAAAAAACTCGGCAATGGGAAATTACCCAAAGTGAGTATAAGCATTTAAATCTAGGTCAAGCACAGAGCAAGTTTAGGCAATAATAGAGAAAAACGGAGGATAGACGAAGGATAGACGAAGGTAGGGGACGAATGTCGAAGGTAGGAGGGAAGATAAGATGTCGTGGACGATGTGAAGGAATAGAGAGGAAGGTAATCAGCCAAAAATGAGCCAATAAACTGCGAGATAACAGGATGGACCAATCAAGGTAGGGCACATCAGTCACTAGTGGAAAAGCGACCAAGTAAATAGAGAACCTGAAGCAACAAGATGGCTTGTCTATACCAGAAATTAATCATACCACATTCCTAAACAGCTGCAGTTGTATCGAGTATCCAAATCTTTGGCTGTGTTAAAATGATAATTAGGATAAAAAAGCACAAGGTCTATGATAAAGAAAAACATGAAACAACTAAGGAGGATTAAAGGGGAAAAAACAAGGTAAAAAAATTGCAGAAGAGTAGTGTCTGAATAATCCTTTAACAATATTAATAAGAGATGTACACACCCCAGGTCGTGTAAAGTGATGAGGCACTGATAATTAAATTTCTCCACCATGATGTGAATAGATGAAAATACCTTGTCTCCCACAAGGTGGAACTCATGCTTCCAATGAATCACACTTGTTCTTGCCTCCCAAAAGGTAATCTCATCCAAAGTGGATTGCAGGTTTGACCTCGCTTTGGTCTCACTAGCAGCAACAGGAAATCGACCTGGGGTAGTGCAGAGTATAGTTTCAACATGCTGCAACTATGATACTACTATGGGCGTCAGT